TTTACAAGATTCAAAGCCCTGCAGATACCAGGAATATTATTTCTAAAGGAATAGTTTTACCTGGATGATTTTCTATCGAGAAATCATTTGATTGGCTCAAAAATTAATATTACTTTATATATGGGATTTTAATCATTCGTATTTTTTAGCCGATGCATTTGAGCAAAATTTAGGATCTCTAACAATAAATTTTTATAGAAATAATAGGTTTCATGTCACTTCGGGTTAAATTTCTCCTCCAACTCACCTCCATTAATTTTTTAAAATATATTATTTATTGGAAATAAACATTTAACTATATAATTGCGGGTACTATTTGCTTTCCCACACCTACAGATTCGGCAGTCTCAAGTTAGCAGATAGGCCAGACCGATTTGAACCTTATTTTATTGATAAAAATTTTAGACTGACTTGACAGTTAGAAACAGGTCCGATGGGCTTTCATTAATAAGAGCTTTTTAATGACACCATATTAAATTTAATCAAAACTAGAGGTCTATATGACCTGGACTAAAATCCCAGCCTTGCTACAAGCCCGTGGCCAAGAGGGCAGCCCCCCTCCCCCAAAAAATAATTCCCAGCCCTCTAATCTGGCTTTCTGACAAATGTTTTGGTCCCCACAATTGGTCCTCAAATATTTTCCGCCCCCCCCCTCCCAAATTAAAAATAAATATTTTAAATTTTAATTCACCACTAACAATTAAATCCAAATGAAAAAAACAAAATTCTTAGAAAAATTTTTGTTTAAAATTCAAAGTAATCGTATAAACAGGAAAATACATATAAAAATATTAGTTAAAAATATCCATTCACTCAGTAGCCATTAAATAAAAAACAACAAACAATATCCGCCTTTTTTATTGCTCGGCAAGAAGACACTAGTGTTGTTGAATTCGTCAGTTCCCGTGATGTTTCTTCTCAACCTCTTCACCTCATCTTGAACATGGTGTCAGTTAATGTTAGAGAGATTTAATTAATTAAATAATTAGGATAAATTATAGATATTGCGAACTACTTAGTGCAAAGTAATTTTTTCGTAGCCCGAGCCCGACCCAAGCCCAAATTTAAAAAACCTTTTTGTCCGAGCCCGACCGGAGCCCGAGCACACATATTTTAGTCCAACCTGAACCGAGCCCGAATAAAATTTTAGAATTTGAGTTTGAATATTATAATAACTAAAAAAAAATTATGTGTATTTATTCATCGCCACCTTAAATAAAAGTTTATTTGACGGCCATAATCTAATCAAGATATATATTAAGTTGCATTTAATTTAATTTGTAAAAAATATTATAAAAAGATTAAATTACAATCGAATCTAAAAATTATAAATAATATAACCATATTTTCATATATTTGTTATCAACATATCGACCCTTTTTCATATATGCGTTATATTTCGGAAATAATTTATTGCGTATACCATCAACAGTATCTATTTTCTAAATTTTCGTGGGATTTGGAATGATGCTTTTAACATCAATATTTCCATATATTAAGCCAATTTTGGCAAATATTGGAAGGCAACAATCAACAAAGCCTTCCCAATAAATTGTATCAAATGATCTCAAATCACGTCCACAAAACATGGTGAGCACCTTTGTACACTCTTTTTTTAAATTTGGCACAACTTTTGAGTTTTTTGAAATCAGTAAAGGCTATCAATTGTTAATTGACTCTTAATATTCTCTATTGTAAATACGCATTTATGTCTTTCTAGCTAATTTTTGCCTAAAATAATTTAATAAAAAATTGCAGCTTTCATCATATATAAATGAAAACGTTTTCCAGACCTAAGATTTGCAATTGGCATTTTCCTTTACTTTGTATTCATTGCTCTTAATCTCTTTACCAATTTTTTTTAATTTGGCATCCATTGAAATAATTTTTTTAATATGAAAATATGAGGCTATTTAATTGAATAGATAAGTAAAATATTGTTTAACTTGATAGAATATGATGAAAATAAAATATGTAATAATATCGTTAACTATGCAATGCAATGTATTAATATAATCCAGAGTTGTTAAAGTAGCGCGCTATCTTTTTTGGTAGCTATAGCTAATAGCCGCTACTCTTTTTTAAATTATTTAATTTTTTAGCGCGCTACTTCTCTACTTTTAAAAAATATAATGAATGTAAGTATAAACATGAAAATTTAAATATAATATCATAATTAATTATAATTTTTATAATTTATTATTTAATTTTGAAATTTAAATATATTTTCAATTTCTAATTTATATTTTCAATCTGTGTTAATAATCTAAAATGGCATCGCCCATGGATATCCAAATCCTTGAAAGTGATTCAGACATGGAAGAAAATGTACTTAATAGCTCTAATAACGATTTCCCATTCCCTAGATTTGAAAAATTTTTTTAAATAAATATTAAAACAAAATCTGGATTCAAATTCCTGTGCTTAAAATGTAAAAAAAAAATATCATCAAATCAATCGAGTAGCTATAACCTGAAGAAACACCTAAAGGTAAATTGTTATTTTTACATTATAATATTATTTATTTTATTAGACTGTTCACGCCAATTGCTATAATGAAATAGAGAAACATATAAAAAATTTTGGTATAAGAGAATCTTCATTCAAAAAGACAAATACTATCCAAACCAAATTAACAGATAATAAACATGCCAATATTTCACAAAAATTGGCTGATAAAGTAATTGTTGATTTTATTATTGACACAGTTCAGCCATTGTCCTTGGTTGATAATCCATCATTTACTATGATGATTAAAACTTTATCCCCTGGCACAACAGTTTTATGTCGCCAGACACTTATGAATAAAATAGCCGACAACTTCAAAGTGATGAAAGATGCTATAATAGTAGAGTTATCAGATATATCTTATGTATGTACACCGGCAGATAGTTGGACACATAACAGAAGGTAAAAACTTATTTATATTTATAAATTTATCTGATAAAATATTTTTAGAACTTCCTTGCCCTCAAGTGCTAGTGTCGAGAGATTATTTAGCAAAGCAAAGCTTATACTTTCTGATCGTCGCTCTAGACTTGGGGATGATAATATTGAAATGATATTATTATTAAAATGGAACAAATTAAAATAAATATTTATTTATATTGCTTATTTTTTTATAATCTAAACTAACTATATTTTTATATTTATAAATGTTGATTTTTATATTATTATTATTATACATTTACATTATAAGCAAAAAAAAATAAAAAAAATTTGTTTCATTTGTTTCTAAAATTTTTTTGAAAAAAAGTAGCTAATAGCGCGCAACTTTTTTTGACAAATAGCTATAGCGGTAATATGGTTTTTATGTAAACTATGAAATAATATTTGAAAATGACATGTTATTCTGATTGAAATTTTAAGGATAAAAGTGATAAATAGAAAATGTTATGGTTTTATAATAGACATGAATTATAATGATTATTTAGGATATTTATATTAATATTTTTTTCGGGTCCCGAACCCGACCCGAGACTAGGGTCGGGTCCGGCTACAGACAGCCCATTTAGTTCTCTAGAACTTCTTGCTTTTAACGCCATGATACCTAAACATTAAGTTAATTAGATAAGCACATGTCAACTATTAAAATTTTAAAGAAATTGAAAGAGGACGAATATTCTAACATGCAGAAGACGAATACTTTTTCAAAATACCTATTTCCCTAGTGAATCTTAAGATATTAAAAAGGAAATGACAAACTAAGCTCTGCCTATAATGCGATCATACTTGAAGTTATCATTACATATAAAATATTCAAATAATATATTAAAAATTTAAAGAGGACAAAGATTTTTATAAAGAGGACGAATATTTTACTATGAAGACGAATTTTTCCAGTGGAGTATAACTAAATCATGTTCAGGCACCGGCTGTTACTCAGGCAGGTACCTTACATTTTGACACTTATTTCCACCTATCGTAAATTATTCAATTTTTTCATTTTGACGCTTTACTTCCAATTGTTTAATGAGTCAATGAAAGATAGATAAAAACAAAATTTAGTTTTAATGGTATATGAAAAAAAACTAACTCCAGTTTATCTTTTAAATCATTTTTGATAAAATTCAAATCAAAATCGTCGTATTATATTATAGTATTATTTTTTATTATTATTTTTAATTATTTATTTTCAAATTTTCAATAAATAAAAATTTTCTCAGTGTCTATTTGATTCAAAAAGATATTACCCTCCCTCCCCAACTATAACTGGTTATGGGTCAGCAAGTCTGGTATAATTTTTTTTTTTCTGGCATTTCGTAAAAATTTTTTAAACGGGCTATACAAATTATACGCTTATAAAAAGCTGACTTGTGCAGCAAATTTTCCACTTTTAAATTGTAGTTTTTCCTAATTTTTAGTGCAATCTTTTTTTAAAAAGAAGGAAACAAGACGTGCTGACCAACTCATATAGTCTTAATGGGCAGATTCAATATCCGAATAGACCGGCTTGTGATTATCTATAATCAAAACCCTATCTATAATAAATGAAAAACTTCTATTCTAAAAAAATATATTATTATCAAGTCAAGTTCAAGTGATTAAAAAATAGCACTACGCTATTAATCCTAACCAATAATAAGATTTAATTTTTTAACCTATACTATGCATATATTATAAGTAGTAATGCTTGAAAGTTACATCTTGTATCCCTTTAGAAAATAAAAATATCCTGTTTCAAAAAAAGCACTAAATATTACAACCAAATTATTATTAATTAATTAAAAGATAACGAATTAGTCTAAATGAAAAAATTATTTTATTTTTTTTAAATTTTATTTCGTTTAGCTGTTTATTTTTTATTTGTGTTGTTAATTTAATTTATGGTTATTATTTTTGTTTTTAGAAAACAAAAATACAGATAACTTTATCAGCCATTTTTTAAAGAGTAAAAGAGTTTTAAAAAAAACTTGAGCCAAATAAATTTTAAAAAAAATTGTTGGTGGCGTCATAATTTTGATTCAAAAAATTAGATTCACAAATTTTCGAGACCTTAAATAAATAAATAAGCTATTTTAAAGATAAAAATAAATACATGTCCAAAATATAATTCTAGAAAAATTTTATAAATTTCAAAAATTTAGTCATACGATTTCATAAAAATTTGCGAGAGTTTTGAAGTTTCTCAAATTTTTTAAAAAAAATCTGGACATCGCCTTAAACGGCATACAAAAAGGCGATGAATGATACTTCCACACCTAAATTCTTTATTCCGAATTATTCAAAGATGAATTACGAGTCATCATTAATATGGGTGCTTGTTTACGGGGCTAATATAATTGCGATATTGATATCGAATGGACTCCTCATATACGTGATATCCTTCAAAGTTCTAAATAAAAAAAGTCGGAGAAAACGTGTATCCACTAAACAATCAAACGAAATTACCGACCATGAGCTAAGTAACAAGAAGGGCGTTAAAAACAGTAATTCTATTCCGAATGTTATAAATTGTCAAGGGTCTCTATCCAAAGATGTAATAGTGATGAATTATTTCCTCATATTTCTGAGCATAGCCGATATTCTGGTAGGAGGAATATGTTTACCTCTTTTTGTCGTGTTAAATTTTCCTCGTGTTTTTTTACCAATTATCCAAATTAATGGTTCAACTGGATATGTAGATAACGTTAACCCTTATAAAACTACATCCCAATCTAAAGAATTTTACAAATTTAATAATAATGTAAGCCTATTATTGGCGCCTACAATGACGACAGCTTTGGGAGATATTTTAGAATCTCAGCAAAATTCTATTAAAGATGAAGGATATCGAAAAATTAACTATGCTTACTTCTGTTGGTCCCAGATAATATTCACATTTTTCAATGGGTACAGTGGTTTTGCCAGTGGCTATTGCATTATAGCACTAGCTTACAACCGTTATAAAGCAATAAAACAAATGGATTCTAACGAATATTTGTTTGGAAGGCTAATAAAGAAGGTCAGCTTTAATATTGGGCATAATATATTTCTTAAAAGACTAAATAATTATATTACACAATTCTGCAATTCCATATTCATGTCATCCAATATTTTTGACGAAATATTGCTTATACACCTATTAAAAAAATGGTATACATGGCCAGTTGTATTATTAACCATTTTGAGCGTTCTTTCCTCACTACCCATGGTGATCCTAACAAAAAATTCTAATTGTTATACAAATATTATTACAAACAAATTCTCGTGGGACAAAATATTTTTGATGTATTCAACATTGATCGGTATAAAATTGATTAAATCCCGAAACAATTAATATTTTTTATACTTGTATATATAATAGAGTTGTCGACGTTACTCAAAAAGTAGCAGTGTTACATTTTAAGTTACTCTGTAAGTATAGTAACTACGGTTACGATATTTTGAAAAAAGTATTTCCCCCCCCCCCTCATTACATTAAACATATATTTGTTATATAATTTGAAAGATGGACTTTTTACTAATGTAAGGTTGAAGTTCATCAATTATAAATGAGATAAGTTTAAGTTCAAGTTGTTTAATTGATTTTGATATTTAATTTATGCCTTTGCATTTCTAATTGTTGGCCTATGTTGTTGCTTTCTAATTTTTGTTTTGAAGTTTTTTTGTAAGCCTTTATCTCATTTAATCTCGAATAATGCCCAATCTAAAAAATATTTAGGCATCATTTAAATAAAAAGTTATTATAAACTTTTATACTTTTTTAGGTTTGAACAATTACTCGTTGAAGTAGACAATTTTGTTATGCACAGTGTTTGAAAAAAATCTTCAAAATATTTTTATATTAAAAATCTTTAAGATTTTATTGATCAAATTTTACTTAAAAATATCAAAATCTCTTTTAAAAAAAATCTTTTATAAGTAGATTTTTTGTAATAAAATCTTTCAAGATGAAATCAAACATTTAAAACTTTTTCTTTTTTAGGATAACTAATTAATAAGCGATACAATTATATAATATTTTAGCAAGGAAATGGGCTTTTTTAAGCTCATTAAATTATTCATTAAGTTTATAAATCAGCAAAGGAAAAGATCTTGAAGAGACTTTCAATTACTGGCAGGTTAAAATCAGCTCAGGCATTAGTTAGTATTTGTTAAACAAATATACGAACATCGAAAAATAAATGTTTGCCTATTTGAAACTAAACTCCCATTTTTCAAAATCAATTTATTTTTATCAAACTCAATTTATTTTAGGTATCATAATCCCAGTCGTAGTTTCATTACTATTTTACTTTATGTCCATAAGACACTTAAACTCGGCTTCTTCCACCTCCAGAGATATCCTAAAATGTGAAAGATCCACGAAACGTAACATGAGGGCCATACAAATGATTCTTTGCATCATGTTGTTATATATCATGGTAGGGACGCCACTTACTGTATTTAGTTTTCTAGATATTTTCTCAGTCGTCGATTTCCAAGCCGAATTTTGGCAAAAAATTTTTATATCGGAGATTCTCAATCTGGTAGTCTCTCTTGATAGATGGGCTAATGTTGTAATCATATTTTATTTTGGTGGTAATCTGCGACGAGCTTTCTATAGCGTTTTCACAAATAGTTGTTGCAAAACGAACAAAAAAACAAACCACGATAAGAAGAGAACACATAATGAGTTCAGTTGTAGCAATCTTGGATCATGTATGAGGCCCCTATTACTAAATAAAAATAATATTTCAAAATCATTTCAAAGAATTTATAACTTCAAAAATGTTGTGTCAGAGCAAAGAGGTATCCTACACGTTCTCGGTCCAGAAATCAGTTTATCAACCTCAACGAATAATTCAAAATATAAAGCTCTGCCTTCAGATTTAAATAATATACCCATAATGATAATCAATAATTTAGGAACTCATCATCCCAATCCAACGATAAAGATAGGTTATGATGCAGAATATAATACATCAAGTTTTAAGAACATTCCAAGGTCACCTTTCAAGGCGAATAAAGATATTAAAAGTACCAAAGAACCATCTTGCAAGAGCAAAATAACCTTTGATAAAATTACACAGATAAAAATGGCTGCACATCAAAATAATTTCAAAAACCGGAAAATTTTGATATCTTGTCCGGAAGATGATTCTAATGATAAAATACTTTCTCCCTGGAAATACATCCTTGGACATGCCTTAAATTCTTTAACATCCGAAACTTCGTCGACATCCACTCGGTCTACACTTACTTGAAGTAAGAGTAATATTTTAAAAGAGGTTAAAAATAATAATTTTATATAATTTCATCTATCCATTTGTTTTTTTTATAAAAAAACTAGAGAAGCGAATATGTGCATTTCAAAAATAATTATATAAATTTTAATTATTAAGAATTCATTTGTCAGCTGACGTTAATTAGGTAACATTTTGATTTAAAATAAATATAACCATTTATAGATTTTTTTACAAAGGAGGACACTGTTATAATAAAAAAGACATCAATGATGTTTTTTAAAGGATCATTTTATTTAGGTTAGTAAATACTTGTGTTGTTAAAGTAACTAGTTATATTTTTGCTAAAAAATAACTGTAACTAATTTTATTTTTTTAAATATAACTGCCAAAGTAAATAGTTACAATATGGATGTGTAAATCTAAATAATATATTCAAATCAAATAATTAATTTTATTTTTAATATGTTTTTTTATAGTATAATTATTTAATAAATGAATATGGAAATTATAATTACTATATTCTATATAAAAATATATAATTAAAAGAAGATAGATTAAAAAATAAAATAAAAAAATATATTTAGATTTGGTCGACGGGGTTTAATGACCCATGAATAAAATACACAGTTGGATCGACAAATTTATATTGATATTCTTTGACGCGATGCCTTCTTTTGGATCACCTGTGATTAAATAACATTTGTCCTATTGTTTTGAATAATTTTAGGGCTTAGGGTCCAAATAATCCACGGGTGTCTGAGACCATCAGAACAAATAAAAGATTATTAAGGAGCCTATATCTATATGTTTTTGTATTTTCAGCTTTCTTGATGGAGTTGACAGAAAAAGATCTGGCAAAGCGATCTACACATGTATAATCCAAAGCGAGGGGTATATCTTGATTCCAAGGAAATAGCAATCAGGCCTGGTTTGATTATAAGGGCCGACAGAGGGCTCCAACGTAGGAATATTTGTGGATTTCAAGATTCTATTGATGATCGAATTGATGGCATAGTGCTTGGGTCCGCCTTTTGCCAGAGGGGGTGGTGTCCAAGGCTATCGATATGTTTCACAAGGGACACATGATGTCGGAGTTACGATTTCACAGCCTAAACGAAGACCTATAGCTATTCTAAGTTCTTCGTTGGTTAGTAAGCCTAAATTAGAACTTGATAGAATTCTAACCATTCCTAACCATGGTGGCATATGGCTGAGTTTGGAATTATTTGATCCAGCAAAAGAGTCGTATTGTTGTCATTTTGTATAAGAAAGAGCGATGAAGATTATCTTTGAGTAGCTTTGATCGACGCAATCCTGTATCAATGTAAATTCCTGTCTCTTTGTCTTATAGAATTTTGATATGAGCGGCTTGGAGCATTTTTGTTTCAGAGGTCTAATGATGCCATATGATGTGGATCGATAGTATCTAAGTCTCCAAGTGTTTATCGAAATTTAGCAATTGAGGATAAAAAGGCTGAAATGCTTAAGGATATGCGGAAATGGATACCTATACCACCTAGGTTTGGTGGAAGGGCAGCTTGCATCCAGAAGAGTGATGAAAAATTGATATTTAAAATAGATTATAGATTATTTTTTAAATGAACTTCAAGTTCTAATATTTCAGGGGACATGAAAATTGTTGATGAATGAAAAGCATGTAAAATTTTAGGAATGAATAAAAAAATTTAAGTAAATAAAAAGCCTGATAAGCAGGTAAATGTTTTAAAATATTTTTCATTCTATTAAATTTGGCAAGAAAGCTCTCTGAAATGAAATAGCATTTTCACCTTCAATGGGTAAACCTAGGTGGGTAAAGCTAGTTTTGTCCACTACTATAAAATTTTCAGGTGGGCAGTCCGATTCAAGGGTGTGATTAATTTTAAATTAAATTTATTAATTTTAAATTTTGTCTAAATGTCTGATTGTGTCCGAAAGGATATAGGGCTGGGAACTTCTTTCTTTCTTTCTTTCTTTCTTTCTTTCTTTCTTTCTTTCTTTCTTTCTTTCTTTCTTTCTTTCTTTCTTTCTTTAATAGGTGATGTGAATATAAAAAATTTTTGTATCAACATACCTAACCAAACCAATCAAATAATAAACGTATTGATTTGGAAACGTTTTATTTAGCACAAAGAACATAGCAAAATGAGTACATTAAAAATGTAACATAACTGTCTATTTATATAAAATATAGTGCAAAAGATTGATATAAATTTAATATAAGAGAAAATAATTTTATGTATTTAAGAAGAATCCTGCATGCGCATCCAACTTTTTAGGAACAGGCAAGTTTGGATAGTATGCTCATCTAGTGAACAATGTTGGTCTGTTATAACATACCGTCCTTCTGAAAAAGTCCTTTCAGAGCTAGATGAGGTAGCTGGTATTGCAAAATAATCTGGCAATTTTCGATAATATTGGATATCTATTTTGATTTAATTTCCACCAGTCTAAAGGATTTGTATCATTAGAAATTGTGTTATCCACATATTTGCTTATTTCTAATTATTGTTATGACTAGGTTTAACCTATTTTGTTATTTTGTGTTTCATTTGTATGTTCGGCTGAATGTAATTATTTATTTTATAAATATTATATTCATTGGTTAGGCATCCAATAAGAGTTTCATTACTATTATGCTTTAATAAGTGACTTGATAGTTTAAACCTTGGGTCAATCATTGTTGAAATAATAAATTGGTGTTTATTAAAATTATAGTATTTATTAAGTTAAGGCAGCTAAAGAAGTTGTCTTTAAAATAGCATTAGGATCATTATAATTCTCAACATGCTCAAAAATACTGGAATATAAAGGAATGATTGTTGAAACTGATTGACTATTAGCACATGAGGTCATCTCTGTAGCAAAATTAAATGGTTCCAGAAATTCTCGGTATATTTCTATATTATTCCAGGCTAAGGCACTAATATAAAAATTTTTAAAAAAAATTCTTATTTTTTTTAAAGTTGTATTTAAGGGTTCCAATGCAGCTATGACTAGAAAACTGCACGGGCTGTCTAGCCCGACCCGAGCCCGGAGCTGTCCGACCCGAAACACAACCCAACCCGACCCTAAAAAAATATTAATATAAATATCCTAAATAATCATTATAATTCATGTCAATTATAAAACCATATCATTTTCTATTTAGCACATTTTATCCTTAAAATTTCAATCAGATTAACATGTCATTTTCAAATATTATTTTATAGTTTACATAAAAACCATATACCAAACTATTTTATGTGATTATATTTTAATACATTGCATTGCATAGTTAACGATATTATTACATATTTTATTTTCATCATATTCTATCAAGTTAAACAAAATATATTTTACTTATCTATTCAATTAAATAGCCTTAAAAAAATTATTTCAATGGATGCCAAATTAAAAAAAATTGATGAAGAGATTAAGAGCAATGAATACGAAGTAAAGGAACAATTGCAAATCTTAGGTCCGGAAAAAGTTTTCATTTATATATGATGAAAACTGAAATTTTTTATTAAATTATTTTAGTCAAAAATTAGCTAGAAAGACATAAATGCGTATTTACAATAGAGAGTATAAAGAGTAAATTAACAATTGATAGCCTTTACTAATTTCAAAAAACTCAAAAGTTGTGCCAAATTAAAAAAAAAAAGAGTGTACAAAGGTGCTCACCATGTTTGGTGGACGTGATTTGAGATCATTTGATGCAATTCATTGGGAAGGCTTTGTCGATTGTTGCCTTGCCAATATTTTGCCAAAATTGGCTTAATATATGGAAATATTGATGTTAAAAGCATCATTCCAAATCCCACGAAAATTTAGAAATTTAATAGATACTGCTGATGGTATACACAATAAATTATTTCCGAAACATAACGCATATATGAAAAAGGGTCGATATGTTGATAACAAATATATGAAAATATGGTTAAATTATTTATAATTTTTAGATTCGATTGTATTTTAATCTTTTTATAATATTTTTTACAAATTAAATTAAATGCAACGTAATATATATCTTGATTAGATTATGGCCGTCAAATAAACTTTTATTTAAGGTGGCGATGAATAAATACACATAATTTTTTTTAGTTATTATAATATTCAAACTCAAATTCTAAAATTTTATTCTGGCTCGGGTTGGGTTGGACTAAAATATGTGTGCTCAGGTCGGGCTCGGAGAAAAAGGTTTTTAAATTCGGGCTTGGGCTGCTAAAAAATTACTTTTCAGACCTGTAGGACAGCCGTGTATGATATGGCAAAAGCATTTGCACACATTATTAAAATTATCTTTTTGTTTTGAAATTTTTAGAAATGCTAAATTATTACTTGCATTGTCTAATGTAATACAAATAAAATCAATTTCAAATTTTACTTTTAATACAGAATTAAAAATACTATAAATATTAATAGAATTATGTGCTGATTTAAAAGGAAAAAAATCTAATGATTATTTAATTTAAAATCATTATCAAATAATGAAATGTTATGCCCATAAAGGTATTTTATTTGGAAAAGACCAAATGTCTATTGTTAAGGGAAATTTAGATGTAATGTTAGAAAGTACAGATTTTAAATTGATAAAAGAACTATGATAATGTTTCATAATTTCTATTTTTAATGTTTTTCTAGAAACTATGCTATTAAATTTTCAAAAGGGACATCCTCAACCTTTGAAAAGGCTAAGTTATTTTGAATAAAAAAGTCTATAATTAAATTATTTAAATTAGCTTTATTATTTATATTATTAACTAAAAATGATTTTATTGTGTTAATTTTTTTACTACCAATATTTATATGTTCAAACTTCCTATATAATGTTAGGTGGACGGATTTAAGATGTGTCCATCCTGAGGTTCCAAAATGGGAAAGAGATAAATTTTTTTACATTTATTACAAATAGCCTTTTTTTGTTATCACAACTAGTATAAAATTCCCAGATTTTTGCTGTATTTCGTCTTTTATTAGATATTGATGATTCTTGTTCATTATCGCTATTATTATTAGTATTAACAGCATTATCTATATTAATTAACTCTATTTGGTCTTCATTCATTATAATATCTTAAAAATTGATAGATATCATGTAGAAAATTTACTTCCATAATAAAAATAAACTATAATTATAAATAACACCAATATTGATATGATATCACAGTAAACGGATGTATAATAAGTTTATGCAATTAAAAGTAAAAAATATACCACGATATAATTATCCACGATAAAACCAAATAATTATATGTATTTATCTATTTTTAATATTGGTATTGTTTAAAATTGTATTTAATATATCAAAACCAATATATTTAAGTAATTAGTATTGGTATTGGCTGTAAAATTAATACCAATATTTAATTATATATTATTGGTTTTTAAGTAAACCAATAATATATTGGTATTGGTTCCACCTAAAAGGAAATGTAACAGTAATATAATTTCCCATCCAAATAGATTTTCTTTTCTTAAAAAATTACATTGCTGGGTTTCATAATTTTGTAACCAAATTCAAGTAATAAACCTATTTTTTAATATTATATTTCTTTACAAATTTATTTTTCCCTCGTTGCTAGTAATATTTATACTCTGGAATTTCATAAGTAATAAATGTATTTTTTTTAAATTTTACTAATTTAGATCATAAATCTTATTATAAGGAACGACAAAGAAGATTATTTTAGAATTCAATAATATTGTATAAAATACTAAATTAGTAATCATTACCTTACTAATAAGGAAAGGCAAAGGCTATGAAAGAAAAACAAAATATTATAAATCAGATATCAAATATCATTTCCTTCAACAAGAGATTAATCAAATACCCTTTAGACAAATGAATTATGTTCGAAACCATTGATGTATAGTTGGATTTTTTAACCTAAAGCGACATAATATTGTTGATAATCAACTTATAGGAAATTTTATGAAATACAATAATAACACATTATATTTATATGATGATTTCCCAAATTTAAAATTACATAAATATAATGTTGCCCTTACATCAAGTGCTCCCGTAGAGCGTTTATTCTGTCTAGAGAAGCTCATTTTGGAGAGAAACGAGTAGTAAAAATTTTGAAATCAATTTATTGTTAAAAACTAATAAACATTTATTAAACTCTAATTTTTATGAAAAATAAATAGATGTTTTTTTTCAATGCAAATATATATGATATTTTTATTTCAATGTAAATATAAATATATTATATTTTCCGATATTTTTTTTCGGTTTAATTATTTTTTTAAATAATTGATTTTTTTTTTTTTAATATCAAAATCCTTTATTTTCAATTTTCAAATAATAAATAATATAAAGTATTAAAAAAAACTTATAATTTGTATATCCTAATTTTTTTTATAATAAATAAATGCGTTCAGTAAATAAATAATGCGTTATAGATGTATAAAGTAACTTATAATGTAACTCCCCCAAAATAAGCTAATAAAAAATTTCCCCCAATACCTATCTCACTCCCCCTCCCCTTCTCCGGTCCCACTTTCTAATTAAAACTGTTGAATTGGGAGGTTTTGAGTATCATTGTCATCTAAATAAAAAAATTAATAAAATAATTAATATGAAATTTAAATCAATAACATAATTTATGGTTTCTCTATTAAGTTCTATTAATTATAAGATAATAAATTATAAAGTAAAATATATTCAATTAACATTATAAAAGAATAAAAAATAAGAAAAACTAAAAATAAAAATAAAAATAAAGAAATATATAAAAAAAGTAATAATAAAAAAGGTGCAATTATATCCACAGAATCTCACATATATATCTTTCCTTCATTTATATAGTCTATAATAATATAGTAATGATTTTTCTATTTGCATAAGACATTTTTCGTTTGCATCTAAATATCACAACAATTTGAAAAAACCTTTTTCGTTTACATATAAATATTACAACAAAAACTATCAGATAAAAATTATAACGAAAAAAGACCCTCCTCACCTCTCCACTCCTGGATACGTCTATGACTCAAGTTAGCGTAGTGTTTGTTTTTCTCTGCTGTAAATTTATGAAAAAATCATGAAAATATTTGTATGTACATGCTCACAAATTTTTTTGGGGAAAATATATTATAATAAATAAATGCTATAATATATAAATATATTTTTCTATGTCAAATACAAATAAACGTTAGTTGCTTTATATTGTAAGGGTAGTTAATTAGTTCTAACCAAATTTTAAAGGTTTAAACCAAACCGATATTATTAATTTTTACGAACCGAACCAAACCTGAACCATTATTTTTATCTGAATTTGATCCAATATTCTTTACGGTCCATATCCATGCTCTCATAATAAATTTTAAATGTTTTGCTTAAATATAAAATATGTTAAAGATGCTTTTATCACGATTTTGTACTTCCCTAGTGACTCAATTATATTAAATCAAATTACAGTATATAATATTACTAAGTTTTCTGCAAATTAATCTAAACAAATCTATTTAATTTAATTTAAATATTATTTATTATGAAATTATAATCAATTGACAAAACGGTCTCAAGAAACAAAATTTCGAGGATTTTTCGACTTTTTTTAAAAAAATTTATATATTTCCGGTTCTCTTATTAATTTTAAAAAAAAATCATATAATTTAGGTTCACTTATTCACAAAATCACTGAAGAAGCCAGGGTAGGTTTTTAACTTAGATAAAGACACTCCATTGCCATTCATAAATCGAATTACATCAGTTTCATTGGATACGGAGCTAATCTAACTTTTTTTTAAAATCCTTTTTACAAATTTTTTTTTTCGTATATAAATAATCCTTTTTACAAATTTTTTTCTCGTATATAAATAATCCTTTTTACATATTTTAATTTTATGTTTTTATATTTTAACATATGATGGATTAAAATTATGATGAAGTATATAAATTATAATACAAAATATAAACATATATAATAGAAATATTTTTTAAAGGAATTATTATCATTTATATCATACCATTGTATAATTTGCCAAATTGTATGTATCCTGTTTTAAACGTTCAAAAAAGAAAACTCTCGTGATATATATAATTTATAAGCTTGTTATTATATAGAAATAAAGCATATGAATGTTATCAATTCTTATGGATATTTTATTAACGAATCATTAATTAAGCAATGTTCATGTAATGTATAAAACATCACTGTGTAGAACATGTTTTTCTAAGTCAAGGTTACAATAAAATTTTCCGATTTTTTATTCGGTCGAATCTACTAGATATTTAACGGTCAGGCCAGAAGTTCAATTTTTTTAAAAAGCAAAATAAAAATCTGAAAGATCGTGGTATCTGCTAATTTTTGATTTTTCATCGGTAATAATCAGGTCAATGTTTGAAGAGAAGAACTAGGAGACACAGATAAAATTCCAAACAAGGTGTTTATCTCTAAACCAAGGAATATTTGTAAGATAATTTGATCTTTCTCTTTTGCTTTTTTTTAAAATTCGTTGTTTATTTTCTAAATTTATTATTTTTTAAAAAATTTATTTTAAATAGTTCGCATGTTTTTTATATTTTAATATAGTTTTATATTTTGTTATTTTTAATAATTTTTTAAAATAAATAAATATAAAACTATATTAAAATATAAAAACATGATAAATATTTTAACAATAAAAGACAAGAATCTGCTAAATATTTCTTAATTTATTTTTTAAATTGTTTTATATGTAAAGTTTTTAAATGAATAAATACTGATCCATAAAAAACTCATGGTATAAAAACTTGCATTTTGAATTAAATACTTTATAATATATCTAGTCTATATTACAATTTCAATAATAAAATAATCAAGTTCATCATGTCGTGAATCCACAATAAAAATAAATAAGGTCGTTCTTCATTGTGAATATACATAATGTCAATTTAATATTTAAATATAGATATTCAATTCATATATTAACAACCTATATCTTCAAAAATAATTAATTGGGTAAAATGTCTGCCATCAATGACTAAAGTGTTTAATAGCCTTGCCTAATTTATTTTAGCTCTAAGATATTTGAAGTTCATTGATGTCTTCAAAGACCTTAATTTGATGTATTTTGCCAAGCTTTGTAATAAAATGTTTAAATATGTTCCTTTTAACAGTCTAGCATGTAACAATTGATTTTTTTACTATAAACCTCTGTGAACCTTTTATGTTTTGATTTAATTTATCAAGCACTAATCTCTCACATGTACTAGGTTAAAGTTTTAATTCAGTAAAAATTAAATTTAACTTTTCCAGACCCAAAAATTTCTTTTAACTTGCATATGGCCTCATTTCACTATCTTTTTAATGTCCATAAGCGTTCAAGCATAAAGTTAGTCTTTATATGCTTATTGGTAACTGGAGCCTGCCCAAAAATTGGTGGGTGATTCTTGTCATTTTAAATTAACCTCCATATATCTCTTTTTACACCGTTTAATGGGCATGTTCCTGCTCACAATGTGTATTTCCTAATAAAAAGAGTTTTCAACATTTCCAAAATTCTTTAGGCCTTAAGATACCCTGCTGTCTTCAAATTTTTGAAAATAAAAAAAATAATGGTAAAAATTGTCAATCTTTGTTTTAATCAGCGTTTAACAAAAATATTCAAATGAGCATTTGAAGATTTTTTTGCCCAAAATTTTGAACAAAAAATCTTTGATGATCAAAAAAATTAATGATCTTTTCGTAAAAAAAAATTTTGAGCATGCTTAAAAAAGATTTTTGAGCAAAATGAAAAATATTTTTTGTAAAAAAAATCTTCTTTGAACATGCTGAAAATTTTTTCTTACCAAAATATAAAAAATACATCTGAGAAATTTTTTTAAATTCTTTTAAAAAACATCAAAGGAAAAATTACAGAAGATTTTTTTTACAAAAAACATTTTTTATCTTACTCAAATTTTTTTTTACAATACAAAAAAATTTTTCGCATTTTTTATCTTCAAAAGAGTAAGGATCTTTGAAGACCTTTGAATTATTAGCAAATGTTAAGCCCTGGTTTTAATGACCTCTCATGGTTTTAATGACCTCTCATGGTTTCAAGTCACTCTATCCACCAATAAAGAGTTCGTAATTCGATTTCCAATCACTTTATCGATTTAAATAGGCTTGCGGTACTGCTATCGTTGTCTCTAGTTCTTCTTAACCAGTCTAACTAGATGTAACTTTCTCCTTATGGAGTATCACAAATGTATCTGACATTTCTATTCCCACTTCAATCAAGCAGAAAGAGTGGGATACGCCCATGATTGCAGGTACTGTTAATTATCTTTACACCAAGTTGAAATCTGTGACCATTCGCCCTTTGTTGCCTTAACATCGGTTCAAGGCATAAATCTTTAGAAGCAATTCCTTCTAAGAACCTAGGCTTTGAGCATAAACCAAGAATTTAGTTTTGCGCTTGCTATTTGATTAAATATCAACTCGATCATCTCACACAATTGTGCTAGATGTCACAAACATTCAGATTCAGGCAGACATTTCCTTCAATGCAGGGTGAGCTTTCCGTCCTACTCCATGCAATTCCCTTATCAAGCGTGCTTTAAATTCAGCTGGGATATCCTCCACGATGGAACCTATCAGTTTGCTTACTGTCAATGAAAGACTTGATTGAATCACTTGGTTATTATGGTAAGATAAAAAGTTCCTAGCTTGGGATTTTTCCTGATCGACCCTTTGGATACATCAAACATAAACAAAGATTTAGTAGCTACAGAAATATTGAAATGTGATAAATACGTGGACATCTCTGATTATTATTATTTTGTTCTAGTCATCATGACTACTCTTACCACTTTTGGCAAATTTACATCGCCTTATTACCTCATTCCCCTCTTGATTTTGTTTCAATTGTTTTAATTTGTTATTTCTTATGTTTCTAAAGGTTATATCCACTCTTTCAAATTATAATTCCGTTAAGAAATTTGTAATTTTTTTTATTGAGGGCCAGTGGATGCAATAATTATTCAAAAAATTGAAATGTGATTAAATTTAGAAACTCTTGTCATGTCTAAGAAGCCTCCCTAACTCACTTAATCGCATATTTTTCCAACATAGTAGGGGAGACTAGGATTAGGTAAGCCCCGGTGGCAAACCTTTTAATCTCATTTTAAAATTAAATAGCCTAGAAGGTTTAAATTTTTCCGAATATAGCTTTTATGTGTTCATCTATAGGCAAAAAATCTTTTGAAACAATTAATTATTAAAACTTCATTTAAGAAATAAAATTTTGATGTAAAATTCAAAAGATTTTTACATGACAGAATTTTAATTTCTAAGTTATATAATCATTTACATATAAATTAAATTTTATAGCAAAGTTTTAACCCTCTTTTATAATTTGAGAAAGTTTTATGAGTAATTATTCTGTCTAGATGATATTTCAATCACGATTAGTCAATTTAGAGCCAGCGGGGCTTGATAAAATTTTGGAAAGAATATTCTATGGCTGTGTATAATTGGTATTTAGGTTTATGCTAAGAAATCATAATCTCTCCTTAAGATCCTTATTTTTATATGTCCAAAATGTTTATTAAATTAACCAAAATTAAGTTTTAATTTTTATATATAATTATAATTAGCTTCAATTTAAATGTATTTGATATTTTGAACAATGAAATAATAAATTTATTCTATAAGTATCATTATTAATAAATAAAAATGAATGAATTCATTATAGCCTAAAAAATTAATGGTTTAGGAATCTCCTTTCAGTGGTTTGCCTAACCCCGCTATTAGGGCTTGTTCAGCAAAATTTCAATTTTTACAAAGAATAATATTTCAAAAATAAGATTATATACTTAAATATTTATAAAGCACCTTTATAGAATATAGGTGTAGGAATCGATTCATATATTATACTTTATAATATCTAAAAAGACACAGGAGTTATAGCTGATTTTACAAAAATCGGTTCGACTAGCCCCAGTCTCCCCTAATATAAATTGCTGATTTTTTTAACCTATAGCAAGCGGTTCCTTTTTTTAATATGGGCTGACTAAAAAAATGAAATGTAATAAATATTTCGTCTAAAAGAGTAAAAGTTGCAGAAAAGGAGATAACTAGGACGGTTTTTAAACGAAAACCTATGTAACCATCTCAATATAAAAGTTTTTAGATACATATGATTTTATGGGTATGCTACAAAATCAAAATCAAGATATGAAGAGCGTTATAATGGAACTCAAAATGTCCTCAGTTTTACAAAATACCAAGGTTAATTCTGTTCAGAAAGTTGTCAAATATTTTAAAAAGTTTCGGATAAGTTTGATTTATTTTTTCTCTCATTGATACTTTTATTTCAATTGAAAAAATTTATTTTTTATTATTTTATACTTAATAACTCTGAACTTTACATTGAAGTTGATTCAGTTGTAATTATGCATAAGATGTCAGAGTTTTATTCTGACGGACTTGAATGCTAGCAGGAAAAATTATATTGTAATATAAAATTTTGGTGGGCTTAGAAACTCTTGATCCCAGAAATCCAAAAATGCAATAAATGTTAGGACTTTGTAGCTCTGTTTTAAACTCATTTTCTAATATAAAGGCTATCTATATTTTGGCAACTTTATCATAGCACCTTACCTATATTAATGAAAGCTCGTTTTTACCATAAAGAGATGGAAAACATATGTAATATATGGTATCATTCTTCTACGCAATATATTTGCTTGATTTTGATACCTTTAATTCTATGGATATCGATGTCGTGCCTATTATATTTTCCAGCTAATGTGTAGCCTACCCGCATTTCGGGAAGGTTAGATGGACAAATCCCCCAACTGTCTTTGAACTGGATCTGAAATAAAATCTCGCACTGGCTATTATATGGGTATGATTCAAATGCTAAGTTACAAAATAATTTTGCTATTTTTTTTCTATAAAAATCAATGATTATAATATTGTGACCCCCCCCCCCCCAATAAATTTTTTGATTACGGGTTTCTTCTAAATCATATGATATTATAACTATGATTTTCCTTCTCACTGTCTCTATTATAAATTTGTATATTACTGAATTGTTTATATTGAAAAATTAAATAAAAAGAATGGTAAAACTTAAAACATTTTTAAATATAGTCTCATATTTATGTGAATCATATCACAATATTTCACATAAAAATATTTAAATCACTTTATAAAAAATAAATATTTATTAAATTTTCCTCAAGCCATTCCCGCCTTATAAGAAGAGATAACAAATTATAAAAAAATTTGCAGGGCTAATTTATTCGTAGAAAGAATTAATTTCTAAATGTTAAAAATAAAATTTTCTTCAGTTTGTCGTAAAACAATTTTATGATCTCTATACATATTTTATAAAACTCCGAGTATATAAAATTATTATAATATACCAATACATTCTTTCCTATTTATAAACACTTAAACATATTCTAAAATAGCCTGAAAGCGAAATCATAGTTTTTAATAAACTTGTTTTCTTTAAATCATCATTATAATCTAAAAGAAAGAAAAAATCTTTATTTTCAATTTTATAATTTTTTGAAGATTTTTAAATAATGAAATTCATAGGAAAGATATTCCTAACTATACTAGCCATAAATAGTGGATATGGTAAATTTATTATGATTACAAATTCCCTTTATATGCTTTCATTCCTGTTTTATTTTTTCTCCATTTCCCTTCTTTTATTATTAACGTAAATCTCTTATAATTTGTATTTGTAAAATTTTAGCCATTGTTAATTGTTTTTTATTCAAAAATATTATAATAGGTAAAGTCATAAAGAAGTCCAGTGCGGAGTCATTAGAAGCACTGAAATCTATAGGTTTAAAAAAAAATTCCTCATTAATTAAAACAAATAACTATATAAAAAAGAAAGGGATAAAGAGGAAGAATGAATAATATATCGTCACCTAGTTAGAGTAAATATCTATTTTGGGAGATAAAATGAGATAGGACACAATTTTATGTAAATATTATTATATCTTACAGGTATTTCTTTTATTAATAAACAAGCATTGTGCAAAAAAGATACAATATATAAAATTAAAAAGAACGTGATTGAAAAAAAAATGAAATTATATAATAAAATGATTGAGATGAGTCCTTAATCAAGAATTGAGTCCACCAAATAAAGGAAGTTGTATTTTAAGATTTCGAATGACATATCTTGACAGAAATATAAGCCCTTGACCAGTTGCTTCGTTGATAGAGGGAAGACCTTGTATTTCAGGACTTTAATCAATAAATTTCAGATGATGTGATGTACAAATATATGTAATAATTGGTTCATGATATGTAGCGGAATTGTGTAGCTGTTCAGACATAAGGGCTAAAGCAAAGCTAATTTTTTATTGTTTTGTTTCAATCCAAGACTTTTAAAGGAAATTGTCATTAGAAATCCCCCTCCCCGAACCCTTGTTCAGCGCGAAGGAGGAATATTTCTTAGATTGCAGATTGTATAGGTAATCTACCTGCAACTAGTAATGCAAAATCACTCCATTTTAGCCGATTTTTAAAAAAGTCTAACTCAGTATTTTATCCAAACAAATATTGCGCGAGCCTGAAGATTTTGCACCAAGATGTCACAAATTTCTATTCACCAAATCTTGAGACTTAGGCAATATTTTTTGGGCTAAATATTGAGTTCGCCGTTTTTAAAATACGGCTCAAATGGAGCGTTTTTGCATCAATACCTGCAACCTTCAGGTCATCTTACTCTGCTTTGTTGAGATTGGAAAAGAGAAAAGGCTCTTGTTGAATCTTTCCAAATCAATTGAGTTTTTTTAAAGCAAAGATAAGGGTAGGAGGTGCGAATGTCTATGATACGAGTGCTAACTAGGGTAGATAATATAAAGCCACTGTGTATTCCAGTAGAAGACGCAGAGGCAGAGTTGCTTGGAGTCAAAGGAGATTGTTAAAATGCAGTTTGATATCTCTCTACAAAATATTTCTTTGATTAGGATAGGAACTTGCATCGGGCGCGTAGAGAATTTTGGGCGTGTTAAAAAAAATTAATGAGAAAATATGATTTACCGGCGGATAGCAATTAAAAAACTTCACCCATGTTTTTTGAGGCTCGATATGGCCTTGACACTAAGGAATCAAAGGTAGAAGATTTCGTCAAGCTCGATATTTTTGAAAAAAAATAGGGTTGACATAAAAGAAGAACATAGTTTGGTTTTGCACGCGTTAATCTCTAGTCAAATTGTGGATCCATCAACTTGTATTATTTGCCATGATCTTTCAATTGCCATAAGTGGTTTACAGATTAATTTATCGACAATGTACCTGACGATCTAGCTTACAATAAAATGAGATTCAATATGATAGTGTTCAGGTCAAGACAAATATATATAAATTAAGACGAAATTAATCATATATTTTATTTTTAATGAAATATACGATGTTTATAATTTTCTGAAGAAATTTTTTATTAATAGGTGAATGTTATTTTTTTCTCATTATTTCAAATAAATATATTAATGATCTCCATTATAGTATTATCTCTTGCCTTTTTTATAATAATACACAATAATATTTATATATTGTTGATTTGATGAATGAATACATATAAGGGTTCTCCAATGACTCGGTTACATCTAATAGTTATATGTATCTTACTTCATATAAAAAGCAAATGCGATTTGTGCACGCACAAACGCGTTAAATCTGAAGGTTATGAATCTTATATGCACCCCCTCTTCCCAATACTGTTAGTGGGCTCAGGAGTTGGATTTTCAATTTTTTCTTACATTAGAGGCATTAAATATGGATTATTCCTTTATTTATTTATATTGTGCGGATTTCCATTTTATTTTTTATTAATCCACCAAAAAAATATTTTAAAAAAATACTTCCTTAATTTTTCCCCCTATTCTATTGCTTGCCGTGTTCTTTTTATTCGGGTTTATGTATTGAAGTTCATTTTTTTATGTTTTATTTATATGGGAAGACAATGCATCGTCTGAAATTTTATCTTAGTTAAGAAATATATCCATCTAATCCTCTTTTCCCTTTAAATCCAAGTGTTCAAGGGAGAAGCCTCGGGGATATGCCCATTTTAGTAAAATTTTCTGTTTTTATTAATTTTTTATTAATTTTCTATTCAAAATATAAAATATTTAAAAACGTGTCACAAAGGGCTATATGCTCTATTATTTTTTTCCCCTCTCCAGGACTTTCAATTTTTTTAGATATTATCTATTTTAATTGTTTCTTCTCTTATACATACGGATTTTTCACTTTAAAATTGATGTATTTTTATTGGTTATTCCAACTTTTTTAATGTTCATTTTGCTATTTAACGATTTTTTTTTCTTTTTCATTATTGAGTTATATTTTTATTGGTTTTTCTAATTATTTTTTTTTGTATAGGAAATGCAAATATAGACTTCGTATTAGTAGACAAAAGTGTAAAATTTAGATAATTTTCGTTTTGTGAATTGTCATTTATATATAATAATAAATTTTATAATGAATTTAAGATATATATATATATAATGCTATATTTATTAATCTTATCTAGTGCTATAGCATATAAGGGGAAAAAAATGACAATTTTCTAATACATTAAGAATTCATAAATATATAAATAATTATTATAGGAAGGAGTTATAAAAAAAATAATATTATTTGGGTTGGTACTTGGGACCTTATCTACTGATTTATAAATTAACTAAATTATCTCATTATAAAGAATGCAGTTAGATCCTAATAATACTTAGGTGACGATATTATAAAGCCATATTAGCTAATAAAAAAAATCAGCTAAAACTTGTCTAAAAATTTAGGCTAAGAAGGAAATAGTATTTTTTATAAATATATTTAAAAAATTCAACAAATTTTTTTTTTACCTAACTAAAATTTATCAGGAAATGTTACAAAAAATTCGGAAGTCAATTCATTTTTTAAAGGATCCTTGGGTAATAAAAATTTAATTTATAGGAACTGTCATTGTTTTAATGGGAAATTAACTTTATAAAGGGAATCTTGCTTTTCTATTTAAAAATAAAAACAATTACAAATGAAAGACAGATTCAGCTGCTAAATGTTTATATGAATTACTCAATAGCTTTATAAGGTCATTTCCAAACAAAAAGTTTTTTTCAAAACGGTTTCCTAGATCGTTTTCAGCAATTTCTTTTTTGCTTCCAAACAAAACAACGTTGATAAATTACCTAAGCCATTTATTTTTGCCTAGCAAACGTCATATACATATATACCAGAGATATAAATACAACATAGCAACGCTTGGTCCTCTCACGAAAAGCCCATCAAACTGGGATAAAAGATGGGAAATAATTAAGAGGACCATCCATGTTTTGGGGCAGGCTGCAGTTACCTGTGCAAGAGGCAAAGCCCCTTACTTAAACGACCATGGGAAATAAGAGGAGAGGTAAAAGGCCCATGCCCGATTAAATAAAAAATTTGATTAGGGGGGGGGGGGGTGGTTATATTGGCTATATTAATTTTACTATTAATTAGTATGGGAGAAAACCTAGAAATAAACATGATTAAATAAAATAAATACCAGTACAAATACAGTTATATTACTTATTCTTCCAAACATTTTTGCCGTCAAGAATAAGTAATATACCAATTTGCGATTTTAAAGAAAAACAAAATTATCACCCATCAAAGGTTTCTAGAAATTGTGTCAAAAGTCGAAATATATTTTTAGTTATTATTAGATGGCGTCTGATACGAGTGTTATAAGATTTTTTTTAAATATGATCGAAATTATTACGATATGTTGTTTGGAAGCAAAAATAAATGCTGAAAATAGACCTAGAAAATTATAAAAAACTTTTTATTCAAAATGGCTAAAGAGATAATATTATTGACAGAATAATTTAATACTCTCTTGAAAAAATTATTTAAAAATTATAATCATTCCTTAATCTAAATTTATTTTCTATTCAATACTTATAAAACCTATATGCGTTTGATAATGATATATTACAAAAATAATTAATAGGAAATTTATTCGTAGAAAATTCTGTCCAACCATTTAAGAAGCATGTTCATTTCCTTAATCCTATCTATTCAAACATCAGCAAATATCAGGTCATGGTTACTTTGCTAAAAACAGATTTGCCTTACAACAAAACTTTGCCCAAGTTAATGCTGAATCAAATAGTCAGTTATTGAAATCTGCATTTTTTTCTTTAATATTTTTCCACTTACATGCCCGACGCATTTTTTATATTTGATTACTCGAAATTAAAAAATGATGGTTTTATAATTTATAAAGAAACGTGCAATGTACTATTTTTGAAATATAAATGTAAATAGTTACCTTTTTCAGAATTAATAGTTACTAGTTATTTTTCAAAAATAACTTTTTCACTATAATAGTAGTACAGGAGTAAGAACATTTTTTGTTCTTGGCTAAATAAAAAGGAAGTTAAAATTGGGAGAATTTTTAAATGAACAATTCTCGTTTTTAAATAAATAACAATTTTTCTTGTAGCTTTCTTTTATATGGAGTGGTGGGGGGGGGGGGGGGGGGGTTCATATTACATCAGTTTTCTGTTTAATTTGTTTTAATATTATATTTGTTATATTAACATTTTTTTCGTTTATTGCAAATAGATAAATAATAAAATTTAATATACAATAATATAAATTTATAGAGTAAGTATTTTGTTGAGCAGGTCTTTTAAATGTGAAAATTTAAGTTAGTCAAAAATTAAAATATGTGTATAAAATATCTATCCTAAAATTTGACAATTTTTTTTTTAAACTTTTGAGCCATTTCTAATCTATATAAGCTGGCAATACTCGAATTTTCTAAAATTTTAAACAGACAGAAGACTTATTATCTGATTCAGATAACATATGATATATACTATCGTGATCATAAATTTACAGGGACCCGGAGTGAACCGTAACGAACCGTTAAACCATTAAAACCGTTATAAATATCTAAACCATAACCGTAATCGAACCGATATAAATATTCTTTGAAGGTGTAAAAAGAATCTTTATAAAAACGGTTAAACCGGTTCAAACCGGTTTAATTTTTATATTTAGAAATGGAAATAATTTGAATATCCAGAATTATATAAACTTGCTCTTATAGTACTGGCGGTTCCCGTAACACAAGTTTCTGCATAAAGGGCCTTTTCGGGGCTAAAATTTGTGTTATCGTCAAAACGAACAAAAAGGAATCCATTTATATTAGAAAATATATTACTTATACGTTCAAATAATATAATTAAAAATGAGTTATTTTTAATCTTATATATTGTTTTTATATATAATTCATAGATGCTTATAATAAAAATAAATTAGAAGATAGTGTTGCTTCAATAAAAAAAAATTTCTAACCGTAATGAACCTTAATAAACCTTTATAATTAGCTGAACCGAACCGAACCTATATATATATTTTTAAGAACCATAACCAAAACGTAACCATTATAATTTTTTACATACTGAACAGTAACCAAACTGAACCTTTATAAATAACGGTTCGGGTCCCTGTAAATTTATACTATAAAATTGATAAAAATATATTTACAAAAAATAAAATATAGTGGGCAACTTTTATTTTAACTCTGTTACAAAGATGCAGTTATAATTATATTTGAAAGCTTTTATCTGCATTTTTTACGAAGAAAGAGAAATTCTCTCGTTCGTTTAAAAAAATGACAATAATTATTTTATAAGTGAAAACGATTGGCATTTCAATATAAAATTTATGTCTAATTTTAGCATCTTAAGTTATTATTAGCATTGCATAACCTCTAAGGCCCTTTCTTGACAGAACGTTTTTTCAAAGCGCTTTTCAGGAATGTTTCCTGCAATTTTTCTTTATTTCCAAATAAAGGATAATAATTTGACAAATTAAAGAAGTTTCGTACATCATTTAATCGTTAATAAAAATCAAACTAAGATGGTATATTCCTTTAACCCAGTAAATTTATTCACAAAAAATAAGAGGTTAACAAAAATTAAAAATGATGAATATTATTTTGGAATAATTAAAATCAATAAGAAGAAAGACCTACACAAAAAGATGTCATAATTTGGTTTATGCGTAGCTCAAGGTATGTTCATCTGAAGAAATTTTTTTAATCGGTGGAAATATATTTAAAATTAAAACATGTAACTGATTTAAGGAGTCGAATTAACAGTGAGAGATATATGGGGTTAGTATTAATCAGAGACCTGTAGAGGGATATTTTTTTAAAAAAATTTTACGGCCTGGCCCGCCCGGATTTTCTAAAATTATATTCGACCTGGTATATATAAAAAATTTACCTATTTGGTATTTTATCATATTTTCGGCGAGTATTATCATTTAATAAACAAGCATATTAACTAATGTTGTTAAACGGCTCGTTTTGAGCCGATTTTTAAAAACGGCTAACTCAATATTTTCGCCAGAAAAATATTGACTAAGCCTCGAAATTTCGATACTATATGTCTAGACCTTTGCTCCTTCTATGAGCAAGATTTTCAGGCTTGCGTAATACTGGATAAAACTGAGTTAGCCGTTTTTAAAAATAGGCTCAAAAAGAGCCTAACAACACTACTACAAATTTTTTTTTTATTCAAAACAGATATTTAGTATATTACAAATTGTACTATAAAAAATTTGTGTAAATAATATTTTGAGAATATACTATATTAATTGTATTTATAAAAAAAATAAAACTGATATTTTAATTAATAAAAAATATAACATATATTATATAATAATGTATTTAATCCTTTGCGTATTTTTTCATGGCAGGAAAACTATAATTATATTATGTAATAGATACTATGAGTGTTAGCTAGTGTTAACTTTCACCCAACATTATAGTAATCATAACTATATATAATCATTATAACCATATCTAATTGACGAATATAATAATTCATGTTGTATAAATTTTTTTAAAAAAATTTTACGGCCCAGCCCAGCCCGGGTATTTTAAAAAAAAAATTTCAGACCACCCGGGCAGGGCTTGGTGCCGGGCCTGTAGGTCTCTGGAATTAATTAAAGGTTTGAGATGAGCAGATATAGGTTTTAATATATAATATATCGAAAATTGTTTTCAATAAAATAATAATTTCTGACAGCTCATCATATCCAACAGGTCATGTTATTATAGTCGAATATAAATTTAAATCAATCAACTGTAACGGCAATAAGAAAAGTTTCTTTGAGTTAGACTTAAATCATGGCTCTTATATAATTTTAATATTTTTAGATTCAAATTTTTATCATATCCCCATCAGCCATAACGATTTTTTAGAAAATTAAGCTTTTTATTTCTAACTTCAGAAGAAAACAATAATCGAATGTATATTATATAAAATTTTTAAATAAAATACTTAAACTAAAACTTAGATTGAAAATACATCCTTTTTTGAAATGACGCCCTTAGATAAAAGTCAATACGAGATAAAGGTCCTTCCTATGCAAGGTAACATCACCTTATATCAATCGGTTTCCAACTCATATATCATGAATACAGGTTACAAAAAAAATAGTCAAATGTTTTTAAATATCATATTTTTAAAAAAATTTTTTTTTAAGTGATTTTGTAAATTTGAATAATCTTTAGGGATCAACCCTTGATGGATCAATTTTTGTTAATTTTTATCCATTATTTAAGATATACTTGGTATAGGGCAATAAAATTTATAACAAAATAATAAATAAATACTATAATTATATTTTTAAAAAATTATCGAATAAAAAATCTCTAGATTCAAAATATTTCAATAATTTTTTATGAAAATCTAACAAATTATTTTCCCGTTTTTAAGTAGATAAATAAATTTTTAACATTTAATTTATTTAAGCCTCCTTTTTTTATATTTAATTTTCTGCATGAACAATAAAAATCATTTATTTGAAATATCGAATCGCGCATATTTATAGTTGTTTTTCTATTCTTTCTCACATCTAGTATTTATTATCATATATAGGAACTTGTTTAAGCTGGACACCTAGAGCCATGTGCGGAAATGGTTCTTGTTCTTATTGTTCCGAGCAACCTAACGCTACATGTGATACACAAACAATTTGTGAAGATTGTAACAAAGCCAAGTTTACCCTTAATGGAACAGCCGTGGATTGCAAAAGTTTTACTTTATGAACGATATTATAATAATATTCATAATTTGATTTTAATGGATTTAAGACGAGGGTCTCAAAGTGAAAAAAGTAAATTTCAAGATGACTGAAAACAAAACCAATGTGCAATTAGACATCGATGACAGCCATAAGGATGTCAAGAATTACCAAATAGTTCAAACTAATCATCCATCTGGAAACGTTTCTTCTCATTCATTAACGGTTAATATTTTGAAAATAAATAAGTTTATTATGTGGTGAGCGTTAGGGTTGAATTAAGATAATTTCTACTCAAAATGTTATCAATATTACATTACTGAATTAACTGCAAACAAAATTACAACATTTGTTTGAAATAGGTACAATATATTTCTAGTTATAGTAACGAAAAGGAAAAGTTTTAAAATATTGACCACATTCATAGGTATAGTCGGGATTTTGGTGAAGGGAGAGAAGCAACATTAGATATGTTTTCATCTTATTGAGAGTTTTTCTTTAGAAGGGTTACACTTTTAAAAAAATATTTTTCGTTTTTTACTTTTTTAAATATTAAAATGCTTTTTTACTGAAAATTTTGAATAGTCGTTATTTAAAAAATTATATTAATACATATTGTTGGGAATAAGGGGGGGGGGAGGGTGGCAGGGGTCAATGGCATTAATACTAATTCATTTTTTTAAAGTGCATATGCATAGTTGACAGCATTGAAAGGTATTTCGTTTAAATGTCATTCAATATCAGACTTCAATGTATGTACACTTTTTATTGCATTTTAATGATAATCAGTCTGGATTAGTTAATTTCATTGGTAGGGGTATGAATTTTTTTTAGCTTATGATGATATTTAAGAAAACTGACAAATTTTCGAATGAGCGTCCTCGCGTTACCCTAGATTACGCCTATGACCATGTTGAAAATGAAATTATCAAAATTTATAAAGAATTACTTATATGAGGAGGTGTGTACACATCTCAATACCTGGCCAAATTTATTTATTTTTAAATATTTTTCTTATTCTCCAAAATTTAATATTTAAAAAAATTGGCAATGGAAGATTCAATCTTAAGTACATATAAATAATTCACAATTTTTAAAATAGAAGCCATTATTTATTTGTATATAAATATATTTTAGCATAATTGATTGTTTATTATTTTTATTAAATGATTATTTGTATGAATTTTGACAATTTTTATCAGAATAGTTGAATTCGGGGGATGACCCATATTTGTAAATTGGATGGCTGCCAACCTACAAAGAAGTCCATCCATAACATTTCTAAGTCACAACACCAAATTCAAGCTAGGTATTTCTATGCTACACAGTAAGGTGAATGATTAGTCATAAATAAAATACCTTTTATATTTAGTAAACACTAAATTTACAGTTATGAGATCCATTCCTGAATTCATACATTATTTTCGAAATTTAAATTTTCAAAAAAAAATATTTGTATTAGTTAATGCTACCCTAACTGACTCTATACTAGATAATTTTGGTATAAATATCGAGTTCTCAAATGTTAATGCCTTTAGGTGTTTTAGGATGGAAAAATATATGGAGACAACAAGAGAATTTTGAGGGAGACTCACATATATATCATTTTAAACCGTTTTTGTCATATGAAATATTTTGAAAAGTGTTCGATTTTTTCAAAAATTTTTGTTTAGGTATTGATGAACAGATATATGAACTATATTCGGAAACAAAACTAATTAGAATTTTGAGAAAGCGGGAAAAAGTATAAATATTAACTCGGACAATGTGGGAGCTTCCATTATACCAATTTATGAGTTTCTTAAATTTAATGCGCATTGGGCATGGGGTAGAGAATACCTCTAATTGATAAAGAATATTTTTATTTAGATTCAAAAATAAAGGGTTTAAAAAAGAAATGACGAGGATCACATTATGATGTTTCTATCAGAGATCTTCAAAACCGGGCCCAGCCCACCCCTGGGGCGGATTTTAAATAAATGAAAACGGGCTTGATAGGTCAAAAATTATAGCGGGTTGGCTGGGCAAGTTGAGCATAAAAAAATATAAGGCTATGCCGGGCAAATAGATAAATTATTCTGTCCGGGCTAGATAGGATAATTCGGGCCGGGCTTTCGTTACATTGATATCTTTATTTAAAATGGAAAAAAAGTTAGTAAAATAAAAATAATTACATACAAAAAATTAAAAATAGTTTGTTTTTTTTAATTTTCCTTTATATATGAAACCCCATCGCAAAATTGTTTTTATATTTCATAAAATGTATTTTGTATTATTTCACATTCATCGTAATTTCTATGTTCTATGCTGTGAAATAAAATATTGAAGTAAAAATTATTTGAAAATATTTTTTTTTCCATATTATAACATTTCTGGTTGATTTTGTAAATCGCCAGATTCTTCCTTATAATGAAGGAGCTAATTTATTAATTTATTTTTGATATGAAATATTATTTTTTTTTCTAATCAGATTGATGATTTTGATTTCCACATCGAAAATAACACCATGCATTGTTTTACCATTACACCCAGAGTTTTTTATGCAATATTGGTGAAAGAAGCTACCTATGAATTCTGTTACGTCAATATTAAAGGTTAACCTATCGATCGATCCAATTGTTTTTAAAATTAATATAAATATTTATAAATATGATATAAAATAAATTTATATCAAATTTAACTCTATATAAATTCCGTTAGGACCGACATTCGTCGTTTTTGAAAAAAACTGAATCGAATTGATATTTTAAGAAACCGATTTAATATTGCCATTTTATGATTGTATAGTTATATAATATTGTTTATTTTATGCTATTTACTTATAATAAATAAATAAGTAAATAAATGAAAGAGCCAACATTTAATTATTTGTAATGTTTTAAAAAATTCGAATTATTTTAAGAGAGAAGAGAAAAAGAAGTTCAATTTTATATAAAAAATTGTATTTTTTTTAACTTGAATAAATTCTAATCCTTAATTTGTGGTATAATTCTTCTATTTAAGGTATTAAAAATCGATATAAATGAGATTATCGGATCAGTTTTGGGTGAATATTATATCCGATAGGGGAAAGAATTGATTTATATCTTAGAGTTTAGTTACGTTTTAAGATTCAAATATTATAGGTTCAAACGCCATTTTTATGGTACTATAGATAAGTTATTAACCATATTAAAGGTTAATTTGGTTAAAAGATTAATATGTAAAGAAGAGCTAGGCCCCCTTTATAGCAACCGTGATTATGATTAAACGGCGATGATCATGGCTAAATGATAGCATAGCTATATAGATCATGTATATTTTATATAATAGCTCGATGAGATGTCGCGGTATTTCCGCGGCTACTATCGAGGTCCTATTGGTATGCTATATTTCGACAATATTTGGAGACTACATATTATACAAAATATCGTTGATAATATTTAAAATATTTTAGATCAAGAATATCTAAGATGGATTAGCCTAAATAGGGAATATGTAGGCATGGTTATTAAAAATGGAACTAATGAATTTATTTGCGCCCATTGTAACAAAGATGACAACATTTTGAATGACTTTCAATGTTTTCGGTGCAAGATTGTCATCACCAACCGTGATGATTTAGATATTGTCAAATTATTGAAACAATGAAAAAAATACAATACATCAATTTTTTTTTTACTATATTAAATTCATGCTTATACTTTAAAGATTCTTCTTTATTTTATATTTTCAAAAGTTTATAGTTGAAATTTTGTCATTCATAATAAATTTGTGTAATCTAGTTATAACGGTTTTATATACGGTTAAAAAATATATATGGGCAGAGATGACGTCCTGATAATCTCGGAGGAAAGGGAAGGGAATTTAATATTAGTTTTACACATAGGTGTAGCCAGTATTTTGCTGGGGGGGGGGCACTATTATATGGGTTTTCTCCATACATCTTATTGGGTCTTTAAGTCCACTAATTGAAGGCTTTTGGATATATTCGATTTTTATAAAAATAATTTTGGTATTTCACTTTTTTTATAAAAATACTCTTAAAAAATAATTTTTTAATTAAAATATTTAAAATAAATGCTTGACATTTTAAAAATTCTTAATAACATTTTGAAAATTCGACTGACTTTTAATAACCTGAACCTAACTAATTTTTGATAAGCCCATTTTGAACTAACCGGGTTCACAATTGTGATTTAATTTTGAACCGAACCTGGCAACAAAGCCCTGACTAAATCAAAGCGTTTATTGCCATATATGTCAAATCTTTAAAATATAATATTTTTTTATAATAGTAAATAAATTTGCTTACTTTAAATAAGATTTATTATATTAATATTTTATTCTCGTGCGTGATTAGTATACTTATTATTTACTCATCAATTTTGCCAATTACTGAAAAGAAACCGAGTTATAAACAAATTAAAAACTGCATCGTCACTTATAAAGCATGAAATCAATCAAACTTTTGGAAGCATCAGGCCTGTGCCTTCGGTATAAGCAAGCGGGGTAGTCGCCCCGAGCCACCAAAATTTGACGATTTTAAGGGCTGCTAAATTTTGTTACTTGTGTGATTATATGGGAAAAGAGGCAAATTTATTTAATATTTTTTAGAAATTAACCTTACTACTAAAATAGTCAAAGCAAGAAATGACCATATTTGCCTTAAACCCAGATTAAAGATTTAGTCCAAACATAATTCATTTTGTACAAGACTCATAATGGTAAAATGGGAATCGTTTCGGGAGGGCCTCCTTTGATCGTAAGATTCTGATCTTATATTGGTTCATTTACGGTCAAAATGGACGATATCATTATTTATATGAATTCATTTCGATTTTATTTAATATATCAGATAATTCCAAGTAATTTTTAACAATAATTAAATAAGCCAATCAGAAAAGTGGACGAATTTACGATCAAATGATGTTACGATCAAAGTTAAGCAAATCGTCGTTTCTTATATGCCAAAATCGAAAAAAATTTATAAATTGTTAAATTATCTTTTTCCCATTATAAATAATCTTTAAAAAAATTTTAATTAATTATTCAAGATATATAGATAAAAAATTTTATAGATGTATAAAAATTAGATAGATCCAGTTTTATAAATTTTAAGTTTGGTTTTAGAAATCTCCAAGGAGGCACTCTTTGGATCTTATTATTAGCTTTCCTTTAAGATAAAAATGTTTGCAACAGTCTTCATTTAAAATTAATACCTAAACTTCATGGGTGGATTGAGTATACTTTAAATTGCACTCATCAAAATAAAGTTATTTTAATTAATCTTTAGATTCGACTATACTCGTTTCAGACCCTTAAAAATATTACAAATTAGATAAATAAATAAAAATGTTGTTTTAATGAACTGAATTGTTTATTTCATAGACTATAAAGAGTTTGGAAACAAATTTGATTCCGGTGCTGCAAAAAATAAAGAAGCGAGAAGCTGAATTTACAACTCAAAAAAGGGCTCTTTTAAAACACTTTAAAAAAGTTACATCGTGCGCCACATCTGAAATGCGAGAAATAATAGATGCGGGAGAATGCTGGTATCCCCTCCTGATCAGGAACACATTTACGTCATGAAATATTTTTACTTATTACTCGAGCAAGCAAAGATTATTGGAAGAACATTTTTAGCAGTTAAATCTTTTCAAGGATCATTTTAAGGGTTTTTTATATACCTGCATTGGTAAATGCGCCTGAAATAGAGCTAAAAAAATATTGTAATCAATGAAATATTTTGTTAACGGATAAAGATTCGTTGGAAAGTAATATTGATATACTAGAGCTATCAACCGAATCAAAACTTTCAATAAATATATTATGTAAGCAGACCATAAAAAGTTCTTTAGAAATTTTAGGCTATACATTAGAACAAGTTTAACTATGCCAATTACCGTCACATCGGATAAGACAGTTTCTCAAAGCTCAAACTGATTAAGACTTATTTACGATATGGCGCAAGAATGACTCGTAAACCTATCCCTAATTTCAATCAAATGATATTGTATCGTCCTTAGATTGTACTAACATGATATCCTCTTTTGTTAAAAAAAAACGAGGAGGCTAAATTTTTAAGCTAATAATTTTTAGTTTTTAATGATTATATACAAAGGTAGATGCCGTATTTTAATATGCGTTACTCATATTTATGAGAATTGTATACATTAGTTTATGTCAGTACGAAAAATTTTACAAGTTAAGATAAATTAAATTGTGGTTTTTTAAAGATTCGCCCAATCAGAGTTGTTAAAGTAGCGAGCTACTTGTAGCGCGCTATCTTTTTTGGTAGCTATAGCTAATAGCGGCTACTTTTTTTGTAATTATTTAATTTTTTAGCGCGCTACTTAGCTACTTTTAAAAAATATAATGAAGGTAAGTATAAACATGACAATTTAAATATAATATCATAATAAATTATAATTAATTATAATTTTTATGATTTATTATTTAATTTTGAAATTGAAATATATTTTTTTTCAATTTGTAATTTCATTTGTATTATAAACCGAAATCACGTGTTAATATGGATATCCAAATTGTTGAAAGTGATTCAGACAATGATATTAATGAAATGGAAGATACCAGGGAAGAAAATGTTCTTAAGAGCTATAATAAAAATTTCCCATTCCCTAGATGAAAAATTTTTTAAATAAATATAAAAACCAAAACTGGCTTCAAATTTATTTGTTTAAAATGTAAAAAAAATATTTCCTTAAATCAATCCAGTTATAACCTCAAGAAACACCAAAAAGTAAATTTACATTTTAATAGTATTTATTTTATAAGACTGTTCATGCCAATAGTTTTAAGTAAATGGAGAAACATTTAAATAATCTTAGTATAGGCGACTCAACATCCAAATAAGCCTGGAACAAATATGAAATATATTTTTATTAGTTTATATTAAATAAAAATATAATAAATTACTTGTATTTTATATACCTTAATATAAAAGCATGGTAATAATTTATTCCAAACAATTATAAGAAATTTATTTATAAAAAGTAAGTAGACATATAGTTGATTTTACTCTATTATATAGAATTAATTATAAAATACTAGGTAGAATTACACTTTTACAGACATATTTGATAGTTATAGAATATATTACAGTTAATAATTTAACAAATTTTACTAATCAATGCTCTTGTTATTAAATATAGCAACAATTTGCATTCAATTATTTAACGCCATCTATTTATTTTAAGTAAAAATGATATTTAAATTTAATCTTCATATTATTCATCCCACAATGTCTTTAAAAGATATTTTCTGATGTCCTTATCAATATTTTATAGGTTCTGTAAAATATATAATTCGCTATATTGGTAAAAATTACTTGATTGTCATTTGATAATTAGATATACTGTAAATCTACGACATATAATATTCCACTGTTTGTATTGTGCTTTAATATTTTTTTAATTTATGATTTAATTTTACCAATAGTTTTATAATTATATTTTACTTTTATTAAGATAAAAAAATTAAAATTAATCACTTTATAAAAAATTATATTTGATATATTATATTATTTAGTAATTTTATGGATCCATTATTAATAATTATAATACATTTCACTTCTGTCTTAAGACTTATCTTTGGCTTATATTCCATTTATTAAAAAACATTTTTGGTTCATTTTATATATTTATAAATTTATTTTCCCCAAAATCTATAAATTATGATGAATAGTTTTATAAAAAAATATCAACTTTTACATTCTTTTAAATTATTATTTTAGATATATGCATACATATTTGAGGGTCAGGGAGTAGGGGGAAGACTAGGGGGGATATTTTTATTAGCTAAAAATGATATTTACAAAAAGTGATAAATTTATGAAGGGGGGGGGGGAATTTCCCCTTGCCTCCCCGTGGCTACGCTTATGCCTTGGTTGATAATCGATCATTTACCATGATGATTAAAACTCTATCCCCTGGTACAACAATTTTATGTTGACAGACATTAATGAATAAAAGATAACTTTAGTGATAAAAGATGCTCTAATAGTAGAGTTATCAGAGATCATATATATGTACCGCGGCAGATAGTTGGACACATAACACTAAGTAAAAACTTATAAAATGCAACAAATTACCATAAATATTTATTTTTATTACATAAATTTTTTTATAATCAAAACTAACTATATTTTAATATTTATAAATGTTGATTTTTATATATTTACTATACAATAACATTATAAGCAAAAAATAAAACAAATTTGTTTCTAAATGTTTTTTTAAAAAAGTAGCTTAAAAAGTAGCTTAAAAGTAGCCAAAGCTACTTTTAAAAAATAGTAGCTAATAGCGCGCTAATTTTTTTGACAAATAGCTATAGAGGTAGCGCGCTACTTTTAAAAGTAGCGATTAACAACTCTGCGCCCAATTAATTTCTGCCCTGGGCCACCAAAAATTTAGGCATGACATTGGGAAACACTATGAAACTTATACAACCCATAGGCATAGCCAGGATTTGCCTAAGGGGGGAGGGGGGTTGGGGGGAATTAAAAAATTTCTGGGGACTTCGCCTCCATACCCTATTTTGGGCGGGTCTTCGGCCTGCTTTTATCTGGCCTTCGGCCGGGTTACCTTAGTCTATATAGTCATAAAAATATTTTTACAGGATAGGAGGTTAATTTTAATAAAAATAATAAGCCTGGAACAAATATGAAATA